TTAAATTAAATAAAATCGAAAAAATGTCATAAATTCCTTGGAGAAAAACAAAAATGAAAAAAAGTCAAATGTTAGGTTCGATCATCAACATAGTGCAATTTTGGCAACAGGTAGTATTTTGGCAACGAGTACCTTATACGTACCTAAAAGTACTTTAAGGTACTTCAGTACCCGAAAGTTCCTGTGACATACTAGTAGCAGGGTACTTTTTCAGGTACCCTTAGCTCAGTACATTCACTAGGGGAGGAAACATATTTCGGTGTAGGACTCCATTTTAGACACTCATCGGCAGAAGATCAGAGGAACGTCGGAGAGGTCTTATTTTGTTCAGAATTCAGTTCTTTATGGATGTGGAGTATTTTCAGAAGTTTTTTGAGAAAATGCCACTTTTGACCCTCCAAACAGAATTTATCAAACAATTCGAAGGTCACATGCGATAAAGAATTCAATTTTCCACAAACTGTGTGCAAAAACTTTATTTTAAAAATGGTGCAAAAGTTTCAAAACTCGAAAACAAGATGATCGACTAACCGGGAGTTTTCAGCTTTTTGAGGTTTTAGTTATCAAACCTCCACCTAAAAGCAAAAATAAGGTAATATTTGGAATCTGCGCCAAAAACTGCATCAGATGATGTGCCTTTGAAATTTTTTAGAGAAATGAACAATTTCGACAATTTTTTGATTTTTTAGGTGCAGCTTCCAGGCAAATTTTGACGAAAATTTTCATTTCTCTAAAATATTTCAAACAGTTTTTCACAGTTTGTGGAAAATTGAATTCTTTATCGCATGTGACCTTCGAATTGTTTGACAAATTCTGTTTGGACGGTCAAAAGTGGCATTTTCTCGAAAAAAATAGAGAGTATATGTTAATTTTTCACTCGTGACCGATCTATGGCAAAATACTCGATCGTCCGACGAAGTCTCTCTTAAGTAATACTATTGTGCGACAGATAGGAACGTTCGTTCGTTTTCTTGAAACTGAATTCTGGATGATGCATGTATGTTTCTTTATAGAGTCCAACTCGTGCTCACGATAGTCTCTCTCAGCCTCAGCAACAATATCTGTCCTGTCTGTCTATCAATGATCAAACAGACTCTTTCTCGTACAATGCATCCATGGGATCGATATATTACACAGAAGACAATGAAGAAAGAACAAGAAAATATGATGCAAGAGAAGAGCTTAATTTCGAAACAGAAGAAAAACAACGGAAGAGAGAGACAGCATTGCTAGAAAATCGATACTACGGCGAATTTCTTTTCTGGAAATTATTTTCTTCAACGTCCAACAAAATGTATCAAAGAATATCCGATTTGTGCGAGAAACATTAAGTGCCACCGCTACCGCTAAGTACTCACCGATTTACTTCATTTGTACGAGAGCAAGATACCGATGAAAACCACCGCGCATGGCGCGTACTTTCATGTGAAACACGCAATTGTCCTTCTAACGTCGAGTAACATTGAATTGGTACGTGAACTTCGACGAAGTGGCATCAGTACGCTTCTATTTCGTTTATGTCAAGATGGAACCTGGATAGGAAAAAACTTGAATTGTTTTGCATCCAGTCTGGGATGGATCGATGCGGGTTCAAAAACCCAGAATGTGCTGAGTTTGCTACCACTAGCATTTGCCAAAATTCCAAAGGAAGACCGAGTCAATTTACAAGAATACATGACAGACGAGTTCATTCAGATGTTTGCACCAAATCAAACAATGACAATCGATGGTTCGCAGTTCAATATAAAGTTTACATACAGTGCCGATTACAAAATGGTTTATCAAGTAATGGGTCTCGCCGGTGTTGCATCTGCACACCAATGTAACTGGTGTAAATACCAGAAAATGACACTTGCGAATGTTGGACCATCCGAGAAGAAAAATGATGATGAAGATGACAATGATTACATGATAAAGAGACAGCCGTCGAAAAAGCGTACACGAAAACTAAACGGAAAGTCGAAAGTTGCATCACCTCAAATTACTCGTGAAAATGTATTTAAAATGTGGTCGGCATTCGATGTCTTAAAAGGTGCTAGAACGCTAGGCGAACATTATGAACAAGTAGACGCTCACAAATCACAGTTTGGATACAAAGAAAAACCACTGTTTCACAATTTTTTCGCGTAAGTTTTTCAATGCGGCTAGAAACCGTCGATATGTAACACCAATTTTCTCTAGTTATGAAGATATTGTTGTCGATTTATTACACATGAAATTAAGAATCTGCGATGTATTGTTGAAACATGCGATGAAACTAGCTTGCGAAGTTACGGATGAGAACACTACTCATGAAGATGCCAAGCAATAAATGAGAAATGCGCTCACATTCTTCAAGGAGCACGCTAAGCAGAACGGCGTAAGTTCATAATACTTAACTTATTACTATTCTAATGGTAGAAAAAACTTCTCATCGCATATCCTGATAAAAACTCTGCTCTACTTTCTTAAACGTGAAAAGATCAAACATTTTTCTAAATAATTTCATTCGTAACTAATCACAATAAATAAACAATATCGCTCTAAACCAGTTATTTTGGGCTGAATTTTATTTATAATATGCTGCAAAAAAATATTTTTCTTCCGTAAACATTCCTAGGTCTTATGTCTCGAATTTGGTACTTTCTTTCTGATGAGTAATAACTACAAATGCCGCGCATATTATTCTCTAGATCGTTTCTCTGAGAGAAGGCTAAAGCTTAGATAGTGTTTGCTGATTTTCAAAAATTTATAACAATTAACGCTAAGGGAGCGGCGTCCGTTGAGATCTGTAACGAGGTTCGACTGCTGAGTCTTTTCTGTCTACCAGTACTACATATCTGTAGAGAAAGGTCATTCATATATCACACGAAAAAATAACCTAGATAATACATTTAAGGTATCCGTTCGATTCAAAATTGAAACAATAGATGGCAACCAATGATTGAAAGTCAGCAGTTCCATGAGCGGAGATATGCACGAAAAATACACACAGACGATGCCATTAGAAGAAATATGTCAAGATGTACCAAAAGCGAGAAAACTGATGAAATTAATAAGAGATTTTTTCAGCATTCTACAAATGGTAAAACGAACGAACAGTCGAGCATTTTATCAGCGTGCCTTGACAATCCATTGTGATAAATGGGGTCAAGATTTCATCGATCTGTTTGGCTACGAAATGGTGACACCATACATACACGTCCTGGCTTCTCATCTACCAGAATTCTACGGACGATGGATGGATCTGAACACATTTTCGTTGCAAGGTGTTGAGAAGATCAATGACCTACTCACCCAAGACTATTTTCGAGCGACAAACAAAAAGGGATCTTTCTTTAAACAAATGTTACGAAAACGCATTTGTCAATTGCTTCTCAGTCTTCCAAAGAAAACATGTAAAGATATACTGACAGAATTTCAAAGTTTAAAATTACCTGCGTTAACTGTATCGCATATGGAGGAAGACTCGGACGAGGAAGACGAAGAAGTAAAATTTTTTAGAAAAAATTGGTATAGAATCGCTGAACAAGATGAATTTGATTAACATTTTTAGTGTCGGTAGACAGTACAAACGACAAAATTAATTTTTTAAATTACGTGTCTGAAAAACATTTGTCGCACTATTATAGGATCATAATAGCCTAATCAAACTTCCGATAATCTATCAGAAACTCTTTTTGACAATAATTATCGCCTTTTAATTAGTATTTAGCAACAATTATCTGTTTATAATTTTTAGCAAACTCAGTAGTATCGTAAACAGCTATCTCTCAGAAAAAGAAACAAATATTTAATTATTAATATTTATTGTTCTTGTAAAAGAGTTAAAAGCACTGACCGACGTTGCTGAGTTTTCTACACATTTTCAATATTTTGTAGAGGTAGAAAAAACGTTTTTGTTATGCTTTATATGGTTGTTGCTATATTTTTTAATAGTACAACTCCTAATTAGAACATTTTTTATTTTCTTCTGCTTTCTTATGTGTTCTCCGATATTTCGCTCTTCAATGTAAGCGGTCATTTCCTCCCATTAGTTTTTTCCTTTTCTATTGTTTCTACAATGAGTAAATTAAACTCGTGAAAGAAACTAAACACTCCGTTTTGAATAACGGTCAATTTGAACCCAGACATCAAAAATGAGGCAAAAATAGAAACGAAACAAATAAGTAGGTATCTCGTTTCAAATATACATGACACATATCCTTCTGTTATCGCTCTCTCTTTCACTGCGTGAATAATAGAAAAAAATTTGTTCATCATCGTTCTCATTCACCATTTTATTCTAGCAGTATTTCTTTTAAACATACAGTGGCGAATAAAACAATATACAGATATGGTTGTCCTCGACTTTACATTGCACTATAGACTACAGAGACTAGAACCATTCAAAAACTGGAAAAAAAATGTCTAAAATTCTTTCACCATTGCATAACTGAGACTCTTAGGAACCGAATGAAAAAAAGAATTTTCAATTTATCATTCGACACGGTGGGGATCGTGCCCATATAATACACTTCACTTCATTTATGTTGTTATTAGATACCGTACTTATTAAGAACAGACACACGTAATATATGTTCCTAATAGCAACACTTCCATTCAAATATACGCGTTTTTAGGGAGCTTTTACAAAAGAAGTATTTTCTGCTAGCCGTAGTATGAAATCAATGGGTAGTTCTGAGACAAAATATACTCAAAAACATGTGCCATACACAACACAGAATTTTGCGTAATGCGAGAGTACAGGAAACCTGCCTCTTTTTAAAAATATTAACGTCATTGTGTAGCGTAGAATTTTTTGAGTATATTTTGTCTCAGAACTACCGATCGATTTCATGCTACTGCTAACAGAAAATACTTCTTTTGTAAAAGCTCCCTAAAAACGTGTACATTTGTATGAGAGTGTTCCTATTAAGCACACAGAACAAGCAAAATGTTCTTAATAGATATGGTACTTAATAAGAACAAAAGAGACGGTTTTACAGCTCGCGTAACTACTGAAAGATGCAAGCATTTTAAAAAAAAACGCACATGGCTCGATTCACCATTAAATTCTGAATAAGTTATCTTGGGAGTATCCCAAAATTTTGTAGGTCGGATAGCAAAAAAACCGTTTTTTTCCGTGCGTATAAAAAGCATATTTGAATGGAAGTGTTGCCATTAGGAACATATATTACGTGTGTCTGTTCTTAATAAGTACGTACGGTACCTAATAACAACAAAAATGAAATGGAGTGTATTATACGGGCACGATCCCCACCGTGACGAATGATAAATTGAAAATTCTTTTTTTCATTCGGTTCCTAAGAGTCTCAGTTATGCAATGGTGAAAGAATTTTAGAGAAAAATCCAAAAATAACGTCAGGATATTGAAATTACTGTGCCGGACGACATTTACAGCTAATATTAGGAACAAGCACTTTATGCCTCAGAATATACAGATATTCTGTTCTTTTTTTGTTGTATCTAAGCACATTCATATCTTTCTGTATTTGTCTATATCGGCAGTTACCCATGAGAGATGTCACAGTCGCCGTTACTTTTAGTTGTTAATAACGGTAAAGTAACTAAATGAGTGGAAAAGTTAACAGTGTAAAAGTAACTAGTATCTACCGGTATTTTCGGCCACTTTCGAGTTACTCTCAAAAGTAACTCTGAAGAAACTGAAAGTAAGTTGAAAGCAACTGTGAAAGAATTCAGGGGTAAGTTCAACAGTAATTAAAAGTAACGGCAGTTACTAGTTTCGTTTGTAATCGATAACGCAGTAGTTACTGTTATAAGAGTAACAATAACCTGATAGTAGCTAGCTGTTTGAGAAGCTAATAATCACTTAACACCCCCTATATACTTCAAAACATTTCTGTAGTACATAAATCAGTAGTTACCATTACTTGAGGCGTAAAGATAACTTGACACCCTTATTATCTACAGGTCTTTTCAGTGATCCATATCGTCAAAGGATTGCTCATCTTTCCTTTGGTGACGTAATATGTCGATGCCTCCTTAGGTTTTTAAAATTTATAGGTAACAGTGATGAATAAGTTCCTTATATCTATTGAAGAGAGGAATTACAGAAGAGAAACAAGAATAAAGGAACATATTCTCATGAATGGAATGACTATACAATCACTCATCTAGAACACTATAAGAAAACGAGAAAAATATATAGATTTTCAAATTTCTTCTCAGATTCTGATTTTCGAACTGAATCTCACACTCTGTCATACTATAAATAATCCTTTACTTACGGGCTAAAATGCTTTTGAACGATGATTTGGAGCTGTGAACTGAAAAAACCAAGAAACGTCAAACTTGAAAATTGTTGTAAAGAAGAACAATTGATTCTCTTTCTCTATGATATACTCTCTGTATAGACAAAAGCGTTCAACGAAGGAGACAAATAATAGACACATGCTATTGTAAGCCAAATCTTCCCTTTTCTCTTATTTCCGATGAATATGCAAAGACAAATTATCTGTGCGTGTGTGGAACGGAAAGAAAGGAGAATGTGACTGACTACTTAGGAAGAAATTTGTAGTCGCACAGTATTAAAAAAATAATTTTCGCCTTAAAGGCCAGAAAAATTCTTTTGATATATTCTAAGACTTTACACGATTCAATATTAGCATTTAATTTAAATGCGTTCTTTCAGGTTATTAATATTAACTAAATGCGTTCCAACGCACTGTTTTTTTCAACACGGATAATGTATGTAGAGCTTTAATCTGTTGTAGAGCGTTTACAATCGGACATAAATTTTCCAGATAAGAATGGATTATCCTGGACAAATTTAGAATTTAATTTATACAGTTTTGTAACTAGAATTATTGAGAATGAGTCTTTTGACTTTAGTGTGTGATCGATCTAAAATGAAGTAGCCAAAAGTAACCTTCTAGCACACGGTAGTTCCTCACTGCAACCTGTATTTTTCTTCCGAACCAGGTCTCTGAGCGTCTGTGATTTGAAGTTTTTTTTCGCATGCACTTACAATATTTATAATGACACAACGATTGTTCTTAAGGAAATCCCTGGGTGTAGAGATTGTGAGTTCACCTGAAATGTGTAAAATAGGGCGGAGAAAATTGATGCTAACAAGTTCAGATAGAGGAGATCAGGTACTTGCCTACTCCATCAAAAGAGTTTACCTTACAGGACCCCAAGCAAAAAATATTTATAAATGGTCGCATTTTCCTAAAATGGTTTTTTACTTCTACACAAACTTAAGATTTCGTTGTTTCTGATTCTTGTGCTCCTTTTTTTATGTAATTATTGACATGCTGTGGCACGAGAAATAGACAGGCTTGGTCACGCAATATTTGAACGACTGTTAAAAATTAAAGACTGAATAGATGCGGTATCTCGCTTCTGATCTTGCCGTACATTTAAAGTGTTCTAAAACTAAGATAGCAATCCGATTACTAGGCGGATGTATGCGATTGCTTTTTTCTCTGATTAAAGCACTTACATGTATTATATATCTATATCTTACATATACTATATATATATATATGATGAATAACAATCTATACTTTTTTCTAAAACTCTTGCTGATCATTTATATCTTTTTACCGACTTTTTTTTCCATTATTAAATGACAGTCCTTTCCTTCCCATTATTGTTGTTTTTGTTATTATTATGCGGAGATATCAATCCAAATGATCATATGGAAATAATTGAAACATTTATCAAACTAAAATTAATATCGTTGAAAAATTGTTGTGGCCTTGAAGTAAATATTATTTTAAAGAAAGAAATTTTTATACAGACTATAATAACAGATTTACAGAATCTAAATACTTTTTCTTTTACTCTTGCGAGCAGTAGAAAATTTTGTGCTGAATAAATTAATTCTGACGAAGATTTGATATAAGAATCACAGACTTAGTCGGATCAGAAAAATTTGATAACTACTGTACAGAATAGAATCGAAAGCAATTTTTAAAAATATATCTGACAAAATCAGGCTGAACTTGAATCGAAAACGAAAACTTTTTTCCGTATTTATGACCTTTTTGTCCACTCAATTTAAAAACGTTCCTCTGACCGTTATTACGGTACGCATTTCTTATTTGATTAAGAAAGTCAGTCGGAAGTAAGGTTAAGGAAATTCAAAAGAGGAGCACTTTTTATTTTTTCGATATTTATACATAGCTGGATAGAGCTCGACGAGCTGAATCCGAATATGTGTATTTTAACCTTTCGAATCAAAATTTTAATGTCGAAAATGTGAAAAAACTGAAAATTTTAAAATTTTAAAAAATAGCTTAATTTTGAAAAACCAACATAAAACTTGAACACAATGTTTTTGGGAACCTTAGGAGCTTCTTATTCTTGTTCTCCGTAAAAAGCTGAATCTGAAAAATAGTGTTTAAACACTATTTTTCAGATTCAGTTTTTTACGGAGAACAAGAATAAGAAGCTCCCAAGGTTCCCAAAAACATTGTGTTCAAGTTTTATGTTAGTTTTTCAAAATTAAGCTATTTTTTAAAATTTTAAAATTTTCAGTTTTTTCACATTTTCGACATTAAAATTTTGATTCAAAAGGTTAAAATACACATATTCGGATTCAGCTCGTCGAGCTCTATCCAGCTATGTATAAATATCGAAAAAATAAAAAGTGCTCCTCTTTTGATTTTCCTTAACCTTACCCGATAATGTTTTCGAGGCTCGATCACCAAAAGATACTTTAAATGGCTTGTATCGTCCAGACCTGTGCTCAAAAGAAGGAAAAATTGAGAAAAACAAAACTGACTATTGCGCTTTCTAAGAATGAAAATCGTAGTTAAGTTGCTAAACATCAAAGTTATCATATTGTGCCATTTTTTTTCTCATTTCGCAAATAAACTATTCAGTATCTGGCGAATAAGAACAGATGTGAAAGAAAAAATCCACTTTTTTGCATTGGCAGCAGATTTCTTTTCTAATTTCTTACCTTGTTGCTGTAATATTCCCTAAGACGTATGTTTTTAGTTGAGTAAAAACTAGCGAATATTTGTCTTTGTTCATATTTTTCATGATTGCTTTGGATTCGATTCAACCCGAGAGTTCTTTTATTCGCTATCTCACTTGCATCAAAATTTTTTAAAAGATTTTATTAAAAGAAAAAATAATGGAAATTCACGTGCGTCCCTTCGCCTCACATAGACATATTAGTAAACACGATTCTGATGAACGCCTAAGTCAACTAAGAAAAACTTTTGTACATGTGCTTTTTTGTAATTTTTTTCAGTTTAAAGCCAATCTAACTTACACAATACCATCTGCATGTGAATTATCTTTGGCAAATTGTTCAGACGAATCAATATTATTTCGATTTGTCGCGGAACACCACCAATTATTGAAAGATGTAAATTTAACTGAAGTATTAGCAAATTTTACTCAAACTATTACTCAGCCACCAACTACAATTCAATTAACATGGCCAATTGTAGTAATTGTCTTTTCTGCCCTTTTTTTGCTTTTTTCATTGGCTATTTGTATTTATTATACTTTTCCTTCAAAAAATACGCAGTCTTTTAATCCAAGCGAGATATCATCATCGGGAGCGGGGGATCGACTTATTTATGTACAAAACACTGTCTATTCTTTCGATGATGATACTCATTGTGCATCGTGAAACAAACGGTTGATTTTGTTTCTTATTTCTTATTTATATTTTGGAAACTTCCTATTTTGTTCGTGTTCTGGTTTTTCGTTTTTACTGTTTAGTCACTGTCTTCATGTCATTTTGTTTCCTTTCTTAAAGTAAAAGTAAAGTATTTGTTCTTATTATCTTCTTTAACGAAACTACTTTCGGTTTCTGTTTTTCTAGTATGGTACGTCTTGTGATCGAGGTTAGAATCTGGTGGATCGACAATAGGTACCCGAGGAAAACTTTTTATTTGGAATACTTATCGCATATCTAAAACACGTAGAAGTACTGTACTTTTGCTCTGTTGTGCACAGTAACACTGATTGCGCAGTTTGGCTGTCCTATCAGGTTTGTTTGATCTCCTTAACATCTCGAGTATGTTTTCAGAAACAGTTTTCTTCATTTTGATGCACTTAATACATTATTAAGAAAAATTTGTTTTATTTTTCTATTTCAGATAAATGCTTTTGGTTACAACGGAGATCATTAATTTTGATATATACTTTGATACTACCTCAATTAATTTGACAACATATAGTTGTTACAAAAGATAAACAAATCACATTAAGAACTCCAATGGCCTACATTCAAAACTATGATTCTGCTCGGTCATACGTATAGCTAGAAAACGAGGGGACTTTTTTGTCGATCACACAAAAGTATTTCAAGTTTTCCTGAATCGTTCACTCAAAAACGTTACGTCTTCTTTTCTTAAAATAACGTTGACCTTAGCTATGTATTCCCTTCGCGAAAAAATAGTATTTAAACAGGGAAAAATGCTAATTTAAGCCGGCGATGATCTTGTCTACATTTACATATATCTTTATTAGTTTGAACCATAAATACGTTACTTTCTGTCCCAGTGAACTTCCTAATATGATAATCTAGCGTACTGCATTTTGAGACGAAACTTGTCGGATCAAACAGAAGGCACATTTAAAGATAAGTATGTCAGCTACTCTTTCTCATCTAAATGTAAAAGATTTCAGCGGAAGTTGTTCATCTTTGTCTCCTGAAACGAACTAAGAAATTGTTCATCTTAAAATAACAGTAGCTAACGGTCCTCTATTTCAAGGTTACCCAAACATTCTTATTTCAATCCTCACTAAAACAAAGACAAAATCCGAGACCTTTCAAAGAGCTTACTGTTTAGCTCTGCTTTTCTAAGAATAAAAGCTGGAAAAACAGTTTCGTACCCATTTCGTTTTTCGACAGACACGTTCCAGTGGTTTCAGAAAAAAAAATCACGACCCTTTAATAACTGTTTCTTTTAGTTAAGGCCTGAAGAACTACAAATCTTTTCGACGCCAAATAAAAATAAAACTACATAATACCCCAAGCCTGTGTAATACTTCAAGGAGCTAATTAACTCTAATATTAGCGCTAGTTTGAACATTATAGACATGCTTTCTATTACTTATCTAAATTAGTGCTGTTTTACATTTGTTTCAACGCATAGAGCCACGCTAAATTCAATTTTCATATTTGCAGCCCAAAAATTATTTTCTAAGATTATTTTCTATAATCGCTGTTAGTATATAAGTTCTATCGCTATTACTTTCTCCATAACCAATCAGAAAGCAGTCAGATGCCATAGCGAAGAATTCTATTAAACAATGGAGCGACAGTGACAGAAATACAAATGGAATTTGGGTTTGATGAAACTTTGGCGAAAGCTCCTTCTTTTGAATAGAAGTTTAGTGATATACAGCGCTCCCTTGTTTTTTGTGCGGTTCAAAAGCTGTTTTTTTTCATATGTTGCCTGTTCTGCCAAAAAAACCATTACAGATCGTATTTAAAGAAAAAGTTAGCATCTTAACGACCTTTTGAGCCAAACAATGAGCCAATCATTTCTGCCTAAACACTAAGTTTATCTGTAATATATGTAGTATTAATATTCGAAAAATCAATCGTGTTCTAACAATATAAAAAAAACCCACTACACACACTTAAAAACACGCACTGTGGCTAGTACAAACTCTCTGTCTCATACATATACTCTTTGTCTGATTGAAACAAAGAACTATAGAGCGATTGTCCCTAATTCGAACCACTTTTTGACTAGCGGAAAGGTTTTGCTTTTTGGCGAAAATTTTCGTGGGCAACATATTCTATTTTTTATACTACAAAGTGTAAAATCGTCTCGCGAATTCAGTGATATGAAAATTATCTAGTTATCATCAAAGCTGAGTGAGTTCTAAACGGTAGTTTAATGATGAGTTGTCTGGTTCGAATTAGGAGCGCTGTTCCTAATTCGAACCACACATGGAATATATGTTCTTAATCCGAATCAGCTAGCGTAGAACAAGCAAAAAATAGTAAAAGTTCAGAAAATCAGTAGTTCCTGCTACCCGAATGTCAGATTTTCGATTTTAGCTGTATAAATAGTTTAAAGAAAATGTATGTGTAAAAAAGTGTGACATAAATTTTATCAAGTTTTAAAATTTATTTATTTGACGTAGATAACAACTGATTTAGAATCAAACTAATATGGGGGGTGTGCGTGTAGATGGGGAAGATTAGTGGTTACGCCGAATTTGCTTTATGGTATGACCCATGTCTTGGCTCTTGTGCTTTATCATGGGGCTCAGTGTATCGTTCTCATATAATAAAACAATCGATGATGCATTTCAACTAGTTTATGATGAGGCTGCATCCCAACAAGCCCACCGCTGGCTATGTCACTATTGCGGGTATGGATGAAGGAAAAACCCACACATGTGCATCATGACGACGATTACCACTACCGTTCCCAGGATCAATGTCCATTTCTTTTATAAACAAGTGAATAAGAAGGACTTGGAAAAAGGTTTGGAAAATGAAGCAGCTGTAGCTAAAGCAAATGAGATAATTAAAGATATAAAAAGTGAAGGTGAAGCTGGACTACCTGAGTTAGGCTCACTAAGTGGTGCCACGGGTAGACCAATTAAGATTTTAGATAAAAAAGGACAATTCGTTTGTATTATCGGCGAAGATAAAGGAGGTAAACCAATTGAAGTTGAATATCATAAACCAAATGGAAATAATTTGTCAGGACATTGGACTTTACCAGGAGGAAGAGAACCAGTTGAAAATAATACTGGAGAAAATAATTGTTTGTTTAATGTTGTCGCAGTAATCCAAATGAATTAAGAGCAAATACCGCACTCATGATGGAAAATAACAAGGAAAATCTTGCTAAACATAAAGGACGGGAAACGGTTTCTGCTAGAAAATCGTCCAATATATTTTGAGTGGAAATGATCGAAAATGCTTCCCTTTTCACTTCCCAACACTTTCCATTTTCAAAAAATCCTTCTGGTGTCTTTGAAAAAAAATTACATTTCATTTTTCGCCGCCAGTTCAACAAAAGCCATTTACCGTTTTCCGCAAATTTCTCGTCCGATTTCAAAGTCCTTGAGCAAAGCGCATACATAGTAAAATAGAGAATTTTCTGGGCTTCAAAATAAGCTATAAACGAGATTTTCAAAAATATGCCCATACAGGACAATTGTCGAAATACTAGACAAATATCATCAAGTTCACCTATCTTAGTGCTCTAAAGGAATATTTCTTGAACTCATCTCCTCAGNAGGCTTCAAAATAAGCTACAAATAAGTCTTTCGAAAATGCGCCCATATAGCACAATTGTCGAAATACTGTGCGTCTGTAGCGAACTTTTTTGTTGTAGTATGGCAGTTAGCACGTGGAGAGAGAGAGATATTTCATTATTATTTTTTGTTCTATTAATGTGCCCGTCGTGTTGTAGATAGATATAGTAGAGCCGTAGCAAATAAGCAATGTTACTATCTTACTTAAAAATTAAATTAATGTTATTAGAGCTTGGAGAGAGCATATCAGGTTACGAAGTAATTCGTCACCGTTTCATATTTACACCTCAGCTTGCCACCTTAATAACAATAATCCCGTTAAGCTTAACGGGTTATTAAGCTTTATTAGGCTTGTATACGGTGATTAGGAATTGTTTACATCTAAACTAATTAATTAGATAATTAATAATTTCACTGTAAATCTTATCGATCTCTTTCTCTTTGTGTGAGATGAATAAACAACGTCTTTGCTGATTCAATGCACTTCAGATGCACACGATATCTGCACTATTAAACTGTTTATTCTGGTTATATTCTAATAATATTCAAAAGTTTCTTTTTCTCAAGAAAACAAGATAAAATACTGTCATGACAGTGCTGTATAAAAGCCCTCTGAATCCTCTTCGGCAATCTTTTAGGAAAAAAGTTACGGTCGAAAAACATTAACAATTTTTCCCATTGTTTTTCTTCATCTATACTCGATATCACAAGAGAGAATCAGTATAGATCCGTAGCACAGTGGTTTAGTGCAAAGAAAGTGAATTTTTTCGTCACCGGTTCGAATCCTGCACGGATCTTTTGGCTTTTTTTCCCAAAATTTTTTTCACAGAAATCGGAAGGACCCATTTGAGATAAATATGGCGTACCACTAAATCGACCATGGGCTACACGATCCCGCAAAAATTTCTCTGGCAACCCCCTTGGAAAAAAGGCGCCAAATTTTGATATGCAGTACATGTATGAAAAGAAACCAACAAATGACCCAAACATAAACAAAAAAAGCACAAAAAGCTCTACATGATTCTGCTATACTGCAAATAGTGGAAGAACTTCTAGCTGGTGCCTAGCTTTTCTGCTCATCATAGAGAAAAAGTAAGTGGAGTAGATGTATTTAAGTGCTTTCTACCCAAATATCGTGTCAAGAAATTTTTCGATAAAGAAATTTACAAAACATTGTTCAGGTTTCTTTAATCAGAATTGCATAGATGGTTTTACCCCTGCAGAGTTTATTCTTGTTCGAAATTCGTGCTCATTTCCAACATTTCGCTTAAAACAGTTTGAAAAAATACCT